CTGGAGGAATTACTGGAAGAGCAAGAGGACTCGTACGAGATGGAGGGTGAGTGGATCTGATTTTGGCTGCCATCTACCCTCGCGACGGCGTGCCGTTGGCGTTTCCCTTTGGATCGCCGCGGTTTGCTGGGGGAAGTAGGTCTTTCGACCACAAGATGCATTTATCTTTTCCGGAGCACGTCTTGGCATTGTTTCCAAATCGAAAATGGAAGGAGCAGACCTTACCAGGCTTTTTGAAGGTGGAACCACGACCCGCACCTTTATGGAAGGCATCCAGGGCACCAGCACGTTCATGGAACGCTCCCACGACCAAGGAATCTTGTTGTGCCCGTTGGGTAAGAGTAACTGCTTCTCTTATGAGTTCGCCCACGTTTTTGTCGTCGATGGTTGCAGCTAGATGAAGGCGGACAGCGGGTGGAGCATGTTTCAAGACCGTGAACTTACGTACATCATCGAGGGAGACATCTTCCAGGAGAACCTCTATCCGTGAAGCGAATTGGGAAAGGTTTTCCTCAGCAGCCGGAGATGCGTCTATCAGGTAAGCCTTGAGCCTATCAAATTTGGAGAGTGAAAAGTGTGAAATCAGAAGAGCCCTTGCTTTCGTATAGGCGTTCGATGGCTTGTCCTTGGTGATTTCGCTCAGGAGAGAGCCAGTAGCCTCATCTACCAGTTTGAGCAAGGCAGCAAATCTGTGGTCTTCGGTTGAAACACACATGGATTTGAAAACAACCTCGAGTTGTTCAAACCATTGTTTCGGTCTGGATTTTTCGAACATCCTGAAATCAACCCTGCGTAGACGATTTTGAGTGGAGGAATCTGGGACCTTAGTGTCGACGCCGATAATGGAATTCAGAGCTATGAGGATAGTATCACATGAGATGGAGGTTGAATTGAACGATTTCTTGACCTCGTCGATCTTGTTCGGAGAAGAGGAACTAAGTAGCCAGTTCGAAAACGCTTCGGTTAAATCTGCCACGAGAGAAGAAATCTTGGCAAAATAGGATGAGGCATTGGATTTGGACATGCCGTCCAGCGCAGCTTCAGCTGCCAAGACTATTGCCTCAAGGCGTTCGTTGATGCTTTC